GCAGGCTTCAGGCATTGCTGCTCCTATCTTCTGACTTCATATGAATTGAGAGACCCCCAAAGTAGCCGGTAATTGATCATTTAAGGATCTTAACTGGCGGTGGATCAAGAAGGACACCCATGGACCTTGTTGCGTAGCATTTAATTGTGGAGTGTCAAGTCCCTCCAGGACCAATTCACCTGATTATTTGCCCCTCTCGCCCCTCTCACCCCTCCAAGGAGGAGATAATTGTGCTCTTGAAGTTGACTCACTCTTGTAATGTAGGAATGTCATAGCCATTCATGCAAAGCAAGTTCCTGCAAAAGTAATTTATCATGTGTTTTGTGATGTTGATTGAGAAATAATTATTGGCCATGATGTGAGAGATGATTCCCATAGGCATCTTCAAAATAATGTCACAGCATCAGTTACATTTGACTGAGGGAGAAAACAGGGTTTACATCTCTTCTTAAAGATGGCACCTCCAATGTGCAGCACTGTCTCACTTCTGCTGTAAAGTGTCGGCCTAGATTATGTGCTAAAGACTGTGGTGTGGATCGCAGACACTCAACTCCCTGCCTCAGCTGACAGTGCTATCCACTAAGCCACAACTGACATCTGAACACCTACTGGCATTTGGTTTTAAGCTTATTATGTAGATACCTGAAGCTTGTAAATTACAATTATCTGGTCGACAGAGAACAAAAGGATTTACTGTCCCTAAGTAACAGTAATTGTGGCACAAAACCAAGATGATCTGATTCCTAATGTCCTTCATTGGCTTTATCCTGTGACTGTTTGAACCAGAAAGGAGGATAGTTTGCAAGATTTCTAAGGTTCATTTTACAAGACACTATCTGGCGGCACGGTGGCACAGTGGTTAGCACTGCTGTCTCACAGCGCCATGGACCCGGGTTCACTTCCAGCCTCGGGCGACTGTCTGTGTGGAGTTTGCACATTCTCCCCGTGTCAGCATGGGTTTCCTCCAGGTGCTCCGGTTTCCTCCCACAGTCCAAAGATGTGCAGGCTAGGTGGATTGGCCATGCTAAATTGCCGTAGTGTTCAGGGAGGTGTAGATTAGGTGGGTTATAGGGGGATGGGTCTAGGTGGGATGCTCTGAGGTTCGGTGTGGACTTGTTGGGCCGAAGGTCCTGTTTCCACACTGTAGGAATTCTATGATTCTATGATCCCTGAATTTAACTTGAATACTTAACAAATTCAGAATAAAAATTGACACTCAACCTTAAATATGACTGTACTTATTTTTGTGCGTGAAGTTTGGTTGACACTATCTCACGTTTGTAAGACTAGTCTACTTTTTAAATGCTCCTTTACTTTTGTTGATTGTCTTCTTTTTGGTCAGTTGAATGCTGGTGTGCACAAAATCTGTCAAAACCAAAGACAACTTGTATTTTTGTAGCACCTTTGATTAATAAAACATCTCGAGGTCCTTCATTGGAGCATGTCAAACAAACGTGACATGTTCAAGAGTCAGTCAATCGCAGTCTATGAAATCTACACTTGCTTGTAGGATTCTATTTGTCCGATATGGCACATACAAATGTTGCCCATTGGGATACATCCCATTTGCCTTGGTCAGGATAGCTTGCACATGAGTTGGAAGAGCAAATGTTTATGAACTTCTAAGTATGCTTCGCAGTGCTGCTGGCCTTTGACCAGCATATCTGCTGCTGGCCCTTTTTGAACACTCTACTCCGTCTCATTGAGTGGTTGTCAGTGACAGATAATACCTTTTAGCTGTTCAGTAAGACAAGCTGACTGTTCTACCTGGTTTAACTATCAGTTACTGACTATCACAGTGATCTGGTTCTGAGTATCATACCACTTTGAGCATTCTTGGCTTCACAGAGATGGATCAGAAACCATGAGGTACAAGATAGAAAACTACTGATTTACTTTAGCAGAATGAGTGAAAATCGGGTTATATTGTTCAGAATGTAAGATTTGCTTGATGTTTTTAGGTATCTTATTTCGACCTTCAACTGGAACTCTGAAAATTAGAAACACCCAATTTGAGCAAGGGACATACAATATGTAGAACTGTACTGCTTAAAAATAAATGTAGAAAACAGCAGAAATACCCAAATTAGAACTGCAACATTGCACAATTTGAGATAAAATCAGTGTGTGCAGGAAAGGGGAAACAATACACTTGGAGGACTGTAGTCAATGAAAGAGCATTTTAGCTATTTTAAATTGTTACAAGTCAGCATCATCCCTATAGCTATCCTTATCATTTGAACTCCTTGTTAGATTTGTTTAACATTGTAATTATTCTAAAGCACCGCTAAGCGTCACAGGGTCAGCTAGGAACAGATCTGTTACAAATACTGTCCCAATAATATAACATTTCGTGAAACTTTAATGAAGTGAAGTTGTAACCCTCCAGCTTTAAGGATCCAGATTCATAGACTGTTACACTTGGGAACCATTCATCATTCTTTCACAGGACCCTGCAGAAACTATTAGAAGAATTACACCAAAAAAAAATAAGCTGCTGCATGTACAGCTGATTTATCCACACAGGACAGGAACAGCAAGAATCCAATTTTTAAAATAATTTTTAAATAAGGGTGCCTTAATCTCTCAAGATTTTCTAGGCCTTTTAGTGTAAAACTCGCAAATTCTAATCACATTCTTAAATGATCAGGCCTTTCTGTAGAACAGGGGCAAGTTGTTTGCTTTCAGCTACTGTGGCCTGCTCCCTGGTAGCTGGCTCAGAATGTTGTTGACAGAGACCTCTAACATAGAACAAGCCTGTAAATCTCAGAAATCTCAGGGTTTATGATCGAGAGTGGAAGAATAGACCAGAGGCATTGAATACTCTTAGAACAAGATGGTTATTCTTTAACAGTGTCTTTCCTTTCCATGTAGACAGCCCTACAACCAGCAGAAGAATCGATATGGGGATGTGTTGTGCTTGGACCAAACTAGAGTGAAGTTGAAATCCCTCAATCATGATGAGGTAAGAGAAGAAGATTTGAGTGGGTATGACTTTTAAATTTTCACTCATACTGCATAGTCATCCATTCCCCTCCAGATTGCTGCCCTAAATTTGTCTCCTAGATATCCAGGGTGTATCAGCCTTAATCATTATGTGGACTAGCTGCCATGCTTTGATCTGCTGTTCAGTGATCTGTCATAATGCTAGTATTTCCTGGCCTTGTGTTGTCACTATAGACAAGAGAAATTCTCTCTACTGACTTGAAATGAGACTGAGCTTCAAACCCGACATCTCTATCTGAGTCAATAAATGTGGAGCTGGAAAAGCACAGCCAGTCAGACAGCATCTGAGGAGCAGGAAAGTCGCCTGTCTCTGGTGCAACAGGTTAGTGCGTTCAGCTGCTGGTTCGAAACCACCCAGAGATGAAGGGCTTCCTTTACCCCCCAACGACCATTGTCCATGACTCATTTCCAGGACTTCCTTACTTCTTCTGCCCAATCTCTATCTGAGTACTTGACATCCTTGGCAGTTTTAAGTATTTGTAAATCTTGCTGCCTGTGATAACCATGGTAAAGTACCAATAGAAATCAAATCAATGATGTGATATTACAGCAATAGTGACAACACAGAATGGTTTTAATTAATGTTCATAGATCACAAGGAAACACTGCTTTAGACTTTTTTAATTTTTTTTTACTGCAGAGAACAGGCAACGTCTGCTGGGAAGAAGAACAGCAGTCCCTCTTTCTCTCTGTCTGTGTCTCTATAGCTTGTTTCTAGTTCCATTCTGATCAGTTAGCTGAGAACCAGTCACCCTCACTTTTAAACAACTCCTCACCATCTGATCATCTGTGCATTGCAGAAACCCATAGCCACAAAAACTACAGAATTTATAACAAGTATTCAACTCCTCACTCTGAAATTATGCAGCCATCCTGCTAAATCCATGTTTTCAAAAAAAGTTCGTTCTTCTTCCAATCCACAATTTTTATTGACAAAAATCAAAAATCTCAGATCTTGCAATCAGATTGCTGAGGGGCCCTGTGAGTTTAATCAAAGCATAGCGCTGTCCGTGACCCAGTTTTATTTGCCTGTAGTTAGGACTTAGAGGAGCGGTGAGAATGCTTGGGAATTCTCAGTATTTTGAAACTGATTAAACAGAAACAGGTGTTCTTTTATTTCATGTTAGATTTTCCTTTTGAGTACTCCTAAAGACTAATGCGAAGGTGGAAACTAATAAAAACAAAGTGCTGGAGAAGCTCAGTAGGTCTGACAGCTTCTATGGAGACAGAAACAGTGTTAATGTTTCAAGTCTGACATAGGTTCTCTTCAGAACTTGGAAAGTTAACTCTATTTCTCTCTCTACAGATGCTGCCAGCTCTGCTGCATTTCTCCAGCATTTTCAACTTTTATTTCCAATTCCAGCATGCAGTATTTTGATTTTGGGGGTCATTGGGAGTTATTATCTTGCATTAATGAGATTTTCTGAGAGTGGCTCATATTTTAAAGAAAAACTTTTCTGATGTCATCAAAAGAGAGAGAGAGCTTGCAAGTACTCAGTAAGGTCAGCGGGCATTGCAGAGTGACCACGGACAGCAAGCTGTTTTTCAAGTTGCTGTCGCTGTTGCTAGAAGTACATGCATCAGCTTTTTAAAGGCCCACCTACAGCCAAAGCGATGAATGAAAAAATGCTGTAGATACTGGAAAACTAAAATAAAAACAGAAAATGCTGAACGCATTCAGCAGGTCTGGCAGTATCTGTGGGGAGAAAGGAACCAAGTTGATGTTTCAAGTCAAAAGGGTTTTATCTGAACTCTCGGGGGAGGTCAGCAAATTGATATGTCACCTCGGTACTTCAATGCAGATATTGCCTCACTTGACTGTGTCTGACACTTTCAGCTTTTAATTCATTGAGTTGAATGGCTAGTGTACCAATTTAAAGCTGGACAAATGATACAGAGACGCAAGTTCAAAACCCACCAAGGCAGCGGGAAAATTTTAAGTTTATTTAGATGACTCTCAACTGCCTATTGAAGTGGCCTAGCAAGCCACTCAGTTGAGTAGGGTTGGGCAGTATTATGGGTCACCTTAAGAAATGGTTTTCTGAGCCTCAGGTGTCAGATGGAGACAGATTACAAACATCTGCAAAAGACTGGCCATTATTTGCTACCTTTCTACTTGTAATCAGCAGATTTTGTGTGAAACGTGCCAGTCTCCCATAAAAACAGGTGAACACACATAGCCCAAAAATTATAGTCAGTATAATTAATTCAACCTTGAGCTGCCTGCAACAACTATAACTTTCATTTATATAATCCTTTAATGTTATAAAGTATCCAGTGCCACTTCATAGGGATATCATCAAAAAATAAAATTAAGGGCAAGCATACAGAGAAATATTTAAGTACAGTGAGAGTGTATTCACTCTTTTTAGATGAGTGCCAGGGATGTGTGACAGGTAGTTACATAGCTTGATCTTAAGTTTATATGGGCAGGCAAGTAGTGGTGAGATATACAATGGCCATTGGCCACATAGAAATCCAGTATAACCAAGTTTCATTTTGTGTTTCAATAACTGCACGTTTTCTTTATATAGTGCTCACAGTTAAAAAGTCCCCACTTCATATTTGGTAATTTCTCATGGAATTATTTTCCTGACTGACAACAATTTTATTTGTATTTTATCTTTAATGTAGCAAAACATCCCAAGGTGTTTCACAGTAGCTTCTTAGGTAAAATCTGACACCCATAACACAGATATTCAGAGAATTTGGTCAAACAAGTAGGTTTAATGAGCATCTTGAAGGAGAAATATGTGACTGAGAAACAGAGTTTTAAAGTAAATTCTAGAGCTTAGGTTTCAGGCAGCTGAAGGTACAGCCACTGATGGCGCAGCATTATAACTGAGATAAACAAGAGACTAGAACTGGAAAAATGCAAGTATCCTGAAGGGTTTGTGGGGTCTAGGAGATTAAAGGTAGGGAGAGAACATGGAGGGATTTGAAAATGGGCTTGCAAGTAGGGTGTTGAAGGAAGTTTCATACAACAAGACCGCCCATAAATACAGTACAGACAACCTAAATATTGCACCTTCCCATAAGGTACTGCCCAAATTGCAATAAATACAAGATGGCACCAAGATTTTCATGATTACAGGAGCTAAACTGACCTCATTTTTTGAAGTGGAGGGTGGTGAAGAGGCAGAGGAATTAAAGGAATACCAGAGCTGGAATTATCCAGTGTACTCCGAGATTGAGATCTGGATACAGTGTCTCGGGAGGGTTGTCAAACCACCTCATTATGTAATGCACAGAGCAGGCTGATTGTTTGCTTATTTTAATGCATCAGCTGCAACTCTTTGTAAATATTCACTTGCCTGCCTTTTATGTTTTATGAAATTGTTCTCTAGGTCTGTACTTGCCTTATTCGCTTAACATCAATGCATCATCAACTTGATACAATTAGACTTGAATATATTTTCCTGTTTCTGCAGTTGCAGAAATAACTGAGTCCACCATCTTTCTGCATTGCGTGTCTACATTTCCTCTCCAGAAGCCAAACATGTTCCCGGTTTCTTGTTGAGTTTCAAGATTTCACACTTGTTACTGCTGACAGCTGGAATTTCCCTCTGACAAGCTAAAGCATTGTCCTAGCCCTCTCTGTTTCCATCTCTGGCAACCACCTAGAAGCCAATATCCATTTCAAGCCCACCGACTCCCGCAGCTACCTAGAATACACCTCCTCCAACCCATCTTCCTGCAAAAATGCCATTCCCTATTCCCAATTCCTTCGCCTCCACTGCATGTGCTCCCAGGATGAGGCATTCCACTCCCGTACATCTCAGATGTGCTCGTTTTTCAAGGACCGCAACTTCCCCCTCTCAGTGGTCGAGAATGCCCTGGACCGTGTCTCCCGCATTTCCCGCAACTCATCCCTCACACCCCCTCCCCGCAATAACAACCAAAACAGAATCCCCCTCGTCCTCACGTACCACCCCACCAACCTCTGGATCCAACGCATCATCCTCCGACGCTTCTGCCATCTGCAATCCGACCCCACCACCAAAGACATTTTTCCCTCCCCACCCTTATCTGCTTTCCGGAGGGACCACTCTCTCCGTGACTCCCTTGTCCGCTCCACGCTCCACACTCCCCTCCAGCCCCACCACACCCGGCACTTTTCCCTGCAACCGCAGGAAGTGCTACACCTGCCCCTACACCTCCCTCCTCACCCCCATCCCAGGCCCCAAGAAGACTTTCCACATCAAGCAGATGTTCACCTGCACATCTGCTAATGTGGTATACTGCATCCGCTGTTCCCGTTGTGGCCTCCTCTACATTGGGGAAACCAAGCGGAGGCTTGGGGACCGCTTTGCAGAACACCTACACTCGATTCACACTAAATAACTGCACCTCCCAGTCGCGAACCATTTCAACTCCCCCTCCCATTCCTCAGACATGTCCATCCTGAGCCTCCTGCAGTGCCACAACGATGCCACCCGAAGGCTGCAGGAACAGCAACACATATTCCGCTTGGGAACCCTGCAGCCGAATGGTATCAGTGTGGACTTAACAAGCTTCAAAATCTCCCCTCCCCACTACCGCATCCCAAAACCAGCCCAGCTCGTCCCCGCCTTCCTAAATATTTCAGAACCCCTTCCCCTCCCCCATTTCTGAAGAAGAGTCTAGGCCCGAAACATCAGCCTTCCTGCTCCTCTGATGCTGCTTTGCCTGCTGTGTTCATCCAGCTCTACACCTTGTTGTCTCAGATTCTCCAGCATCTGCAGTTCCTACTACCTTCTACACTGCTTGTCTGCTTTTACCAGAAGTGATCTAGGAGCAGTGAATTTAGGGGGTTCTTAGTCAAGTTCATGGCCTTTTCAAATCTGTCTTTCCTGTCTTTGTTTCTTCTGGTCATTTACCTGGAATTGTGTCCTAACTAGCCTACCAGCAAGCCTGTCCAATATTTTGCTTCCCATCAAACCTGCCTGTAGCACTTTGTTCCGGCATTATCGCCAGTATTTCTTTCCAAAATATTGGTGTCGCAAGACACTCCTTGATTTAACTTTTCAGCTTTGTCCAACCAATTTACTGATCCAGTTCCACTATTACAGCATCAAATGGTGAGCGTAAAGCAATTTAATCCAAACTGTTAAATTATCAACCGCTTTAGTGTTCATGTGCTGCAATTGCAGAGTTGTGACGCCATCTAGCAATATCTGAGCATAATTACACCTATGATAGGGTTACGGTTAGCATTCACAAAATTACCCCTAGACTAAAACCAAGCACTAAAAGCTTGTCAGACATCTGATCCAGGAAATCTGTGGGTTTGTTCCCAACAAAAAGCATAGAATGAAATTACTGAAGGTGTCTAAAATCGAATGTACACTCAAATTAATCAAAAAGACAGGGCTCACATCTCTGCAGAAAGGAAGAGAGAAGAACTCAGCAATGTGCGGGCAAAGCGAAAGGTGCTGTGAAGAAACATGAATCTTTACAAGGTTGTTTTATTGATCCATTGGATGTGGGTGTCACTGGCTAGGCTAACATTGATTTCCCATCCTTAATTAGGAAGGTGGCAGTGAATTGTTGCCTTGACCCTTTGCAGTCTGTGTGGTATGCAGACACCCTCAATATGGTTAGGAATAGAGTTCTAGGATTTTTACCCATTGCCAGTGAATGAACGGTGATGTAATTTAAGATGGTATAGGCTTGGAGAGGCTAGCTGCTGAGGTTCTAATGCATCAGCAGCTCTTACTGTTCTAAATCATGCAGGCTGCAGGTTTGGAATGTGCAGTTGAAGGAGCCTTGGTTAGTTACTACAGTGCACCTTGTAGATGGTGCACACTGCTGGCGCTTTGCATCGGTGCTGATAGACTTGAATTTTGAAGGTGCTGGATGGGGTGCCAATAAAACAGGCTGTTTTGTCCTGGATGATACACAGCTTCAAGGGTTGCTGGAGTTGCACCCATTCAGGCAAATGGAGACTATTGTATCACACTGTTAAAGTTACTTCAACATTTTAAAAAAAACACCAGGAGACTAGGCTGGTGTGCTGGGTGACTCATTACACTGTGGGGTCTCTGGCCATGTTTCAAAGCTTAAAGCTTGGACAAATCCAACAAAGTGGGGAGAATGGCTGTTGCCTTTGCCTCTTGTCACTAAGCAAAGATGGAATGGATCCTATCTGCATCGTTGTAACTGCGGCTAAGGGAAAGTACACCTTTATGCTATACTAGCCTCCAATTTCAGTTTGAATATCATTCTTCAACCAGTTCTTTCCAACCAGTTTTGTATTTGCCTTCTTTCCACACCCCTAGCACCACTCTATCTTCCACTTTTGTCCAGCATAATTTTTGAGTCCATCCACATAAACCACGTACAGATGCTATTTAAATAGAAGCTTTAAATGCACCTTTCCCTTTGCATGAAAGCTGAAATGTTATGGTGGAGTAATTATCAATGTATCCTTAGGCTATTTTGTTTAGTAGATGTGGTCAGAATCTGAAGACTTCAGTTTGATGATTACTCATTTAAGAGGAATGGGCAATTGAAGGCTGCTTTCCTTTATCCTCTTCTGTTGCCACCATTAGTGGAACGCCCAACTAGAGTCTCATACATCCCACTCCGTTCAATCCCAGTGCTAGCAATACACAGACACGCAGTTTTAAGTTTGATTCCAAGATTCACATGATTTTTCCATAGGTGCCACGCTCAAAGTTGTTGCATCTTTTGTAAGGCCTGAATTTCCTCTTAAAACTTTTTATCAACTGAATCCATTTTATCTCAGGTCATATCAAGATTTTGTGAACCTATCCCCACATCCTATCACATTTTAAAAATTGATTAGAAAAATAGGTAAAGTAATCTGTTAAGATGTTATTACACACCTCAGGAGCAGGTGGGACCTGAACCCAGGCCTCCCGGACCAGAGGTAGGGTCTCCACCTCTGCACCACAAGAAGGCCCCTCAGTGGTTTTATTAGCAGTGGTGGTGCTCCATAGAAACTGGGGGAAAGATTCTATGGATTTAGTTCAGAGTGCTCAAGATCAACTTTCGGTTCCCAGAGATATCCCCACATCAGTGTTGTCAGATTTTGTCTATGGGTTTCTTACCAGGATGCTTGGTAACTTACATTGAACAGCATGATCTTGCACAAAATCAAACTATTTCATTCACAGAAAGAGCATCACCAGTAGTCCTGACCCCAAGGATTTGAATGACTTTCTTTTAAACCATAAAAATGAAGTGCATAGTAACTCCATTGAGTCTGTCTTATATCTAAACTGGATAAAGGCAACCCATGTGAAACTCGTTTTAAAGATCAGAAAAGCTTGTTTTTGGATAGTTGGATACTAGAATCATAGAATCCCTACAGTGTGGAAACAGGACCTTTTGGCCCAACAAGTCCACACCGACCCTCAGAGCATCCCACCCAGACCCATCCCTGAACACTACGGGAAATTTAGCATGGCCAATCCACCTGACCTGCACATCTTTGGACTGTGGGAGGAAACCGGAATACCCGGAGGAAACCCATGCAGACACGGGGAGAATATGCAAACTCCACACAGACAGTTGCCTGAGGGTGGAATCAAACCCGGGTCCTTGGCACTGTGAGGCAGCAGTGCTAACCACTGAGCCACCGTGCTGCTTTAGATGGTTTCCAATCAACCAGTTCAGACAAGTGATTACACACTCTGGCCAGGTGGGATTTGAACCTGGGCCACCTAGCTCAAGGGTAGTGATACAGCTACTATGCCACATCTGGTTGGATGCTAGTGAAACACATATTTCTCAATTTTCTGCACCTGATAATGAACAAACTTGCATTTATATAGTGCTTTTCATATTCACAGGCCTTCACAAAGTGCATCAAGCAAGTTAATTACATTGGAAGTCTGTTTTGTAGGCAGGAATATTGTACACAGCTGACTCCCCAAAATACTAATGAGATGAACCTGTTACTTTGTCTCATGAAGCCAAAGTACCTTCACATAGACACCTCCAACAGTAAAGTATTCCTCGATACAGCGCCTTGGTATCAACTTCACTATGAACTTGGATCCTGGGCTGTTAATATTGCACCCGATTATCAAGTCAGCCTTGCCTCAATCATTTTTGTGACCTGCAGCAATGAGCATAGCAACCAAAGCTATTTAATAAAGTTGATCTGTAAAAGTATCAATTCCGATAAATTATGACAGTATTAAAAGATGTATTTAATTCCAAAGAAAATCACTGAACATGAATATCATTAGATGGGACATCTTATTTATCAGAGCAGCAATTTGATAACTGTTACAAAAGCAAAATACTGCAGATGCTGGAAGTCTGAGATGAAAACAGAAACAACTGGAGAAACCTCAGCAGGTCAGGCAGCATCTGTAGTGAGCAACCAATATAACGTTTCAGACCAATGACCTTTTGTCGGAACTCACCTTCAAGAAATTCTGCTGAATGTTCATCAACATGTTGACTGTTGCTTTTGACAGATGCTGTCTGACCTGCTGAGTTTCAGCTCCTTTTTTGTTTTATTTCAGTAATTTCATGACATTGTCCAATTTTCACAGTGACTGGAGCCTAATGATCAGAAAGGTTTCCTATTTAGATTACCTCCTAAAGTGAAATCATTCAGTTAAAATGTTTGCAATTTGAGTAACCTACAGTATTATTCTTCCTGCAGAGGACAGATTACATCAATGCCAGTTTCATGGATGGTTATAAGCAAAAGAATGCCTACATTGGCACACAGGGTAAGCACTGTGACAATTAGAAAACTTCTGTTTTTAATTTCAGAGTTTTAAAGAGTTAACATGGAGTCTTCCATTCGCAAATTGTAGAATCAAAATGTGAGACAAATTGTTGACCCAAATTATCCAGAATAATAGTGGTGATGGTCCTAGATTAATAGAGATTCCAAATTCTTATTCCACCATGGCAAGTACTGAGATTGAATTGAATTCAGTTATCAAGCTGGGAGAATTGTTCAATCTAGTCCTACCATAGTTGTACTGGTAGAATCCTATCCATTGACCAAAAAATTCACACCCTTTCAGTTTCAGCCTTCCATACATCTGTTAAACATACTGTGACTTGAGCACAGTGTAGGATAGGGTCAGCAATGTTGGTCCTGAAAATCCTGTATTGACTTCAGACCTCCTGAGGTCTCATGGCTTCAAATCAAACAGAAAACCATCACCTGATTTTCAACATCAACTGATGTGTCAGTACTCTGCTATGTTAACTGTCGCTTTGAGGAACCTCTGAAGAAAGCAATGGGGAAGATTTTAATATCTTTTGGAATTTTGAATTAATTGATGTTGCATTCTACATTTCTCATAAGATAAACAAGAGTGGGAATAAACCATTCAGCCTTTTAGCTTGCCTCCCCTTTCACTAAGATTATGGCTGACCTGGTTGTGACCTTAATTTCATTTCTCTACTTGACCCCTCCATAATCCTTGACTTCCTTGTCAATTAAATTAGTCCAAAAATGTGCAGGTTAGGTGGCTTGGCCATGCTAAATTGCCCATAGCATCCAGGAATGTGTAGGCTAGGTGCGTTAGCATGGAAAATAGGGTTTCAGGGATAGAGTGGGTCTGGGTGGGATGCTCTTTAGAAGGTCAGTGTGGACTTGTTGGGCCAAACGGCCTGTTTCCACATTATCGTGGTACTACGGTACAAAAATCTCTTTAATTCAGCCTTGAATATCAGAGTCTTCCCAGTGTGCTTTGGTTGAACAAAAGTTTTCAAGTCATGTTCTCAAGCATAAGGAATTTTGTTGGCCTTTCAAGCTACAGACTGTCAAAAATTGGATCTCTAACTGCTCCTGTCAGTTTGATTTCACTCTCATCCAAATAAATGAAAATAAATATCAAGAGTTATTTTACCAGCACATTTGTAGTATTGAATGCATACACTATGATGCAAAGGGAAAATAACAGTATGCTGAGTCTTGGTTCTGAACTGATTGAGGTTTGGCTGTTGGGGGCTGATTTTCCTGTTTCTCATAAATCACAACATTGGCTTTGTCTTATGACTCATGAATCTCATTGCTACCTGCTTAGTCCACTTCCTCATTCCATCCTCGCTGTGCAATTTCAAACAGGACTCAGTTCTTCAATTGTAAAATCTATCATAGTGTTTCCTTTTCAAACTCTCAGCCTTATATTTTCTACCATAGGACCTTTAGAAAAGACATACAATGATTTCTGGAGAATGGTATGGGAACAACATGTCCTTGTTATTGTCATGACTACAAGGTAAGCAGGACTACTTCATTGAGAAACTATATTTAACACAATGCATAATGGACTTGGCATGTGTGGTTCTGAAGTGTTGAAGTTTTGGCTGTATGTTCTAAAGACCTTAAGATTTTACTTAATAGTGACAGTTAAACTATTTCAAAGTGGTCTGATAAATTAATCATTACAACATATTTGAAAGTAACTGGATTGTCCTTTGTGTCAATTCTTTGCCGTGAGTACTGCGAATGGAATTTAAATTCCACATTTGTATTACTCTTAATACATGTGAGTAGTAGAGCAAGAGCAAAGAAAGATGTGCTTAGGTGGAGATTACATTTTTTAAAAAGTGAACATTCCATAGAACGTTACCCTTTCAAACATTATACATCTTTTCAATTGCCGTTGGCTTTGTTTCTGTAGTCATATATGTATGTCTAAACAATTCGGAGAGTATTAATGTTCCACCTTGCAGGGTGCTACCTTCTTGGATCCTTCTACTTCCTTGAAGGAGTTTATGATGATCCTGTCCCTGGGGTTGCAGTGACTCAAATGGTGCCTGCTCTGTAATAATTGGGCACCAGACAGACTTTAAGCCATGGAATCTTAGTCTTAAGTATGCAAGCAATATGGAGCCTGCACTCTCGTTGTTCTCAGTTTGTGGAGGGTGGGGTCATTTTGTAGTGTGGATTTCAGAGTTGTTATGAATGTTTCCTGCTTTTGAATTGAAGATTAATAATGTGGCTCTGTGTGTCTCATGTCCATCCAAGGGTTTGCAGGTTTCTCTTTGTTCCTTGAGTGGAAGCCTTTTATTTGGCTTCCCAGTTATAGAGCTGCATTTCCAGCAATGAATTTTATTTGCCTCCATGCCTCAGAAATATGCCTCATTGATGGCGATCGTATTCTTCCACACATACGCTGAGCCTTCTGTACCAACTAGTGACAAAACTTCTTCACAGCCTAATTAATCAAGTGACCTCACCAGACTTGGGCTTAATGTAGCTGCAGAATGCTACTTGTATCGTTCTCTTCTTTGGTGCCCTAGACAAAGGTTGTGTTATTTCATTCAGATAACCTGCTTCGGCACATAGAATACAACAACTTCCTTGCAGTTCTTGTAACTCATGTCCATTTAAACTATTGCAATTCAATGTTGCTGTCACAGGAGCCTGTGCCTTCATCTGTCCTCCTCGGATGAGGGTTGCCTTGATCTTCATTGGTGAGTTTGTAGCACTGAAAAATCCCACAATTACCTCGACAAAGCTATCTTTTAACTTGTTCTTTTGTGTTTGTGCACCAAGTTTGTACCTGGTGGCTTGATGACTCAGAGGTACTTTATCAAACTCTGCTAGCAACAGCAACTACGAAGGTTCCCATTAAACTGTGTATATGTACAA